GGATTCTTCGGCCCGTTTGTTCTCAAGCATGGCCCCGCCTACATGGCATAAGACCGTAACACACGGGGTATGAAAATTAATGAGGACAGGTGATGTCTCCAAAATGCTGCACACTCAACAAATACGAAAAGAAAACATACGAAAAGGAAATATTCAAATGTCTGGTAAATCTCTTCCTTTGATACTAGCACTTCCTGGCAACACAACCTCACTCATGACAGGGGGCTTCTTTGCATGAATGCGAAGTTATATATTTCGTTTATATTCATGTAAAAACAATAAATCCACAAATAAATCACAATCAAATTACTATATTCACTATATGTTTTTTCTTCTCTTATGAAACAATTACGAACGTCTCATTTATTGAGAGATGTGTGTACCTGTTGTTGGCTTTCGAGTTCCGCGGTGAGCCTAGTGTTCTCCGCCTGCGCTGCCGCCAGACTTTGCGCCACTTCCTCCGCCTTCGCCTCTGCCTGCTTCGCCCGGCCTTCGGTCTCTTTTACCTTCGAACTATCGGAAAAGGTGTGAAGCAAAACAAGATGTTGCCAGTTCTCTCCCTCAGCCTTTCATGTCCTCCATCTCATTTTATGCATCATACTGCCATGTTTGACTGGATGATAGTCTAAACAAATCGTTAGGAAACGAAGAAAAATCCTCCCCACCTAAGTTTTTCGCTTTGCACTTTAAACTGTGTGCATCTTTTCTTGAGACTGCTGTAGTCCTCCGTCATGCGGTCCTTGGTGTTGCTCAGCCTGTCGATGTCTGCCTTCAGGTCGATAATCTGGGAGTCTCTGTCCCTCAGCTCATCCGCCCTGCGGTCAACTGGAGGAAGTACAGTCATAAGCGTGTTCTTGTTTTTGTTTAGTACATAAAATCGGTACACACTTTGTATTACTTGTTTGAACCACTTACGCCGAATCATTTGTCACGTTAGCAAATCAATGTATTCACACCACCATGGCCAAACGGAATGACAATTTTCCTTTTGTAGTGGTGTTTCAGAGAAGCAACGGCAGGCAATTTCCTTTCATAGTTGATCAACGGTTAAGGGGCTGTCTACTGGTTCCCATGTTTTCCCGTCTATCTGTGGCGTTACCTGCTGCAGAGATGAAGTCAAACTGCTTGATGGCATCTCGCACTTCGTTCCGCGCCTTGTTGGTCCTCGCCATTTTGGTGGCGTCTTGGAGTATTTTCCGCACCTATTCAGAAGTTAAGATACAGAGAATTTTTACTTTCAAAAGACAAGATACATGAACAACTGCAAGATACAGAGTTCAGATTTTCTGCGTACCTAGTTCGTGTATTTTTGGGGTGAAAAAGACGTCACCTGATTGGCCGCTGCCCTCCAGTTCTCTGGGTCTGCCAAGATCGTTTCCTCGTCCAGAACTTCTCCCTCCTGCAGTACCCGCGGCTGGCCCGGTGGGGGGCGCCTCGCGCCGGGAGCTGTACAGAATCAAGTTTTACCACAGTGAGCTGAGCACCGATTTTTAATATCAAAGAAGGAGAGCAACATCACAGCTATCTACCTACCTGGTGACTGGCGTGCGTCTCCCGCGGGCATCCCGGTGTCAGAGAAGATGCTCTCGCCCAGCCGCTGGAGTTTCTGTGCGCAGTTCTGTGCCGTCAGAACGGCCATGACGATGCGCCGGTGCACTTGGTTCATCATTCGCTCCTTCTGCTCAGGACTTTCCTTTTATGGGTGGAAGGGCAACCAAACAAAAATTATATGTAAAGAGCATACGTAGTTCACCCGTAACGAAAAAAATTATATATAAAACACTCTACTTGGCTTTGATGAATGCCCGATAATATCTCAAGTGCAAGACTATCATACAACCTACGTGACTAGACACACAGCAAAGACTGCATCTTTACCTCATCGTTGAATTCATCTAATAGTCCCTCCGACGCGTTCAGCCAATCGCTTGTCTCCGCCAGCGTCTGCCGCTGGGCGGCGCTGTGCTTGATAAACTCGTCGATCGCCTTGAGCGTCTTCTTTTCCTTCTTCTTACGTTCACGTTTCTCCTTGCTGATGAAGTTGGGCGGTCTGCAGAACAGTCAAATACAGTTTCTTCATAGTCACCGGTTTCTGGGTGTTAGTTTCATCCCTTTTTATTCTAGCACTATTCTAGATGAATTTGCTCACATAAATAAATCACGAAGCGCTTCAAAACACGTACGGTTACCATAACCTAACCACTGGACAGTCGAACAGGTCCAGACATCAACAACATTGTTGCTTATGCCGCACCCGTCCCACAGT